CAAGGCAACACCTTACCCAAGCTTGGGCTGAAGCTTCTGCCCACGACAGATCAAAGCTCCACTTGCCCATGCTCAGACCTTGCAGGTGACTCCCAATGCTCTTGTTTCCTCTCTTTGTGCTCAAATGGCTGTTTTTTTAAACATCAATGTGTATTTTATAGCACTTTACAACATTTAATTGAACAGTCTTTACTCCAAGGTGTCACCAAACGCCTAGAACAGATGAATTGCTGCTGGAGAAGTCTAAAGACTTGTCCCACCTGTTCTATCAGGTCACATTATGTCAGGTCCATATAAATGGAGAACTCAGAGCAGCTTCCAGTGCCTGAAGGGGCTCCAGGAAAGCTGGGGAGGGACTTGGGACAAGGGCAGGGAGGGAGAGGACAAGGGGGATGGATGAAAACTGGCAGAGGGGAGATTGAGGTTGGACATGAGGAGGAAATTGTGGAGTGTGAGGGTGGTGAGAGCCTGGCCCAGGTTGCCCAGGGAAGCTGTGGCTGCCCCATCCCTGGCAGTGTTGAAGGGCAGGTTGGATGGGGCTTGGAGCAACCTGGGCTGGTGGGAGGGGTCCCTGCCCATGCAGGGGGTTGGTACTAGATGACCTTAGGGTCCCTTCCAACCCAAACCACTCCATGATCCTATTATTTATGTCCTTGTGGAAGCAGGAGGGCTCACTGCTGGGCTTTCACATCCCCAGAGTTTCACCCAACACCTCTAAACAATCAGGGGTGTTGTGCCCAGCCAGGGCACACAGGTCTGGCTGAGGGAAAATCCACATGGTGGGGTCAGGGGTGGGAATTTCAGTTGAATTCTGCTCCTGTTTTGAGGGCTCCATATGTGTGTGTCCCAGTTCCAAGGTCTGAGCTTCACCTGAAGCATCTAAGGGGATGTTTTATTCAAGAAGAACTGAAAATACACTGATACTGGTGTCACCAACCCAGTTCTGACCATGGTGGGGATGTTCCTGGTGAGTCCCCCAGGTGCTTGCAGCCCAACCTGACTGTCTCAAACCCACAGATGTATTTAAACTTCTCATGGGGTCTTTAGTCTGGAAGAAGTGTTTCTTTTCTGCCTGCTCCCAGCAAGGCAGGCTCAGCCAAACACGGAAGGTTTAAAGGGTCAGTGCACAAACCAGCTGCTCGTGAGGCCATAAAAAAGAGCTTTCTGCACCTTTGCCCAGGGCACAGGGCCTTGGTTTTGCTTTGCTTTATCAGGCATTTGGTAATACCCAAGTCCCCTTGTTTTGCTGATCTCCTCCTCACATTTTTTTTCCTTGAGGTTTGCTTGACTTAATCTGTGATGAAATGTAAAGCAAAGTTCTCCACGCTCATGCTCAGGAGAAGGACTTTGTTTACAGTTTCAGCTGCTGCTTAATTCATTGACCACTCATTAACCTCTGCTCTGGAGCCAGGCTGGGAGAGTTGGGGTGTTCAGCCTGGAGAAGAGAAGGCTCCAGGGAGACCTTAGAGCACCTTCCAGTGCCTGAAGGGGCTCCAGGAAAGCTGGGGAGGGACTTGGGACAAGGGCAGGGAGGGAGAGGACAAGGGGGAATGGATTAAAACTGGCAGAGGGGAGATTGAGGTTGGACATGAGGAGGAAATTCTTTGGTGTGAGGGTGGTGAGAGCCTGGCCCAGGTTGCCCAGGGAAGCTGTGGCTGGCCCATCCCTGGCAGTGTTGAAGGGCAGGTTGGATGGGGCTTGGAGCAACCTGGGCTGGTGGGAAGTGTCCCTGCCCATGGCAGGGGGGTTGGGACTTGATCTCTGCTGCTGACCCTGCCTCATCCCCCTTTTGCCCAAGCATTAGGAGCCTAAGCAATGTTTCTAGGAAGTGCAGCATCCAGTAAAGCACTTAAGCAAGTCCTCAGCTTTAGGTCTGTAAGTGGTTCCTGCTGGATTTATGCTTTTTAAAGTGGATGGGGAGGGTTTAGGAGGCTTTTGTTTTTCTCTCAAAGGCTGGTGAAAGCCACCTTCTCCCATGTTATGGGTGACATTTGCAGCAGCAGCCTCTCCTCTGTTTGGATTGAGTTTGCTTGCTCAGCCCTGTCTGCTCCCAGTGCTGACTTCAGACTCCAGCTCTGGGAAGGCTGGAGTCATGTTTAACTTCAGGGTAGTGCCCTGGAGAGATGCTGGTGTCTGTAGGTCACTGTGGGTCAGAAGAATGGTGAAGGTTGGGACCTTCAAGACCATCTAGATCCAACCCCTGCATGGGCAGGGACACCTCCCACCAGCCCAGGTTGCTCCAAGCCCCATCCAACCTGCCCTTCAACACTGCCAGGGATGGGGCAGCCACAGCTTCCCTGGGCAACCTGGGCCAGGCTCTCACCACCCTCACACCAAAGAATTTCCTCCTCATGTCCAACCTCAATCTCCCCTCTGCCAGTTTAAAACCATCACCCCTTCTGCCATCACTGCTCTCCCTGGTGAAAAGCCCCTCCCAGCTTTCCAGTCCTTGAAAGCTGAGCCAGGCTTCCAAGAGGGGCTCATGTCTGTCTCTCCCTCTCCATCCACCTCTGCTGAGAGCCAAGGTGTTGACTTGGTCACTTTGCTCTGCTCCCCAGTTCCCAGGCAGAACAGGAACCGCTGTTGAGCACTTTTCCATCCATCCCTTCCAGGTTTTCAGAGCACCTGCATAACTTCTTGCTGTCCCTCCTTGGCCTCACCTGTGTTGAGGCAGCCTGGGAATCCATGGGAGGAGCAAGAGGAGGTGTTGTTTGTGTCTTCAGCTACTTCGCACCCATGAAAGGTTCTGCTCTGCAGAACCTTTTTAGCCTGCAGGGTATTGACCCAAAATACTCAGGCCAGCAAGAGCAGCATTTGCAGAGTCTGGGCACCACGGTGGCAGCAGGAGGTTTGTCTCTCTGGGTCTGGAGCTCTCCTGCTCTACAAATACAGCAGGTGCCCTGAAAGCTGCTCTTCCACTGAGGGCAATGTCTGCAGCAGGGAGCAAGACTCCTCCAGCCCTCTGTGCTCGTGCCCTGCTCTGAATGAGCAGCTTAATGGAATTAATTGGTCCTGGTGCTGTTGCAAGGCCAGCCTGCCCTGGGTGTGTTCCCTTCAGCTGCTGTAACACAGGCCTTGGAGAAATCTCATTTCCTCAAAAATCCTTGGGGGCAAAAAAAAAAAGCCCTGAAAGCTGCTCCAGGTGCTTTCCAACCCAGCAGGGAGGTTGGCTTCAATATTAGTGGCTGTGATCAGTGCTGCTGCCCTGCTGGAGGGGGTGCAGCCTGCAGCTCAGCATCTCTGATCCCCTTGGGTGAACTTCAGAGGCAGAAAATGGCTTTTCAGGAGCCTCATTTTCTCTGGAGGCTCCTGTCCCTCTGCCTGCCACCTCCAGTGACAGGGGATCAGCTGGAGCTCAGCAAGCACTGACAGATCCCACCAGGCAGGAGGGAGATCCCGGAGCCAAAAACGATTGGATTTGTTCTGAGGTGCACTGGGGAAATCCTGTAAATGCTGGGAAATGAGCTGGCACTTGGATGGGGAACGTGCTCTTGCCTTAGGAGGGTGTTTCTCCTCCTGCTCCAACAGTTTTCCTCCAAACACAGGGATGGATCCAGGCTCAGCACCGTGTGTGTCCAGGCAGGATCATCCCTGCCCTCCTGTAGGAGTGGGCAGGACTGAAGAGAAATGATGGCCAGAGGGGTAAAACTGGGAGGAAAACCCTTCATGCTGGTAGGCTGGTGTCTTAAAAACCAAGATGTGCTGCTTTCCTAGAGCCTCCTGCAGGGAATGGATGTGGGGAAGCAGGGGATGGATGTGGGGAAGCAGGGCAAAATTCCTGAGCTGCTGTTCCAGCCCAGTGTGGAGATGTAAGGGTCCTGCTGCTGCAGTCCCTGCACATTACACACTGCAATGAAGATTTATAAACCAGCTTATTTTCTGTTCAGGTGCCCTCATGTTACTGGATGGGGAGGAAAAAGCTTTAAGGGCTAAGTGGTAGTTTTGAAAGGTGGGGCTTGCAGAGAGTTCAGCTTCATAATGTGTCCTCTTAAAATGGTGTGGATGAAACCACAGTAATGAGAACTGCTGAGTGAGCAGTGGGTAGTGCCTCCTGGACCCAACAAATCTGTCCTGGCTCACAACAAAGTCTCCCTCCAACTCTTATTCAGTATATCTTGCTGTCATCTTATCTTCCAAAGGCTCCTGTTGCCAAACATGTGTGGCCTGAAGGACCACATGGGGTCTTTGGACCTGGCCATGGAGGTGATCCAAGGGCTGGAGCAGCTCTGCTCTGGAGACAGGCTGAGAAGGGTGGTCTGAAAAAAGCAACAACCAAACAGAAATCCCTCCCCACTTGGCAAACCCACAAGTCCAGCTGCTGGCTGGTCGACCTCAAACTTGACATTCAAAAGCTCATGAAGTTCCTAAGCAAAGGCAGGAAGAGCTGGGGAAAATGGGATTGTGCTGCTGCAAAGCTGGAACATCTCCAGGAGAGATCCCAAGGCACAGAGAGCAAGATCCTATGGAGCCAGGCTGGGAGAGTTGGGGTGTTCAGCCTGGAGAAGAGAAGGCTCCAGGGAGACCTTAGAGCACCTT